TTGCTGGAGATTGAGTAAAGTATTTTTAATTAAGCTGATTTCATATTTCTTTTGTAGTTTTTGATTTTGAGAAGTTCAGCTCACAAGTGGTTCAATGTAGAGTTTTTTTTTTTTTTTTTTTTTTTTTTTACCTTGGTTTGTTCTCAAATCTCTACAATACTATTTTTGCAAATTTGGTTTTCAGATACTGTTTTACCAGTCCTCCTCACTGGCTAGTCTCCTTCCAGATTTCAATGAGACAAATATTAGACCTTACAGTTCTCTAGGGCCTGAGGCTTTGCTCAGTCTTACCTCCTGCTTACTTTGTGTCTGTGGTTAGTGGATTACACCTACATTTTATCTTCAAGTTTACCAGTTCTTTCCTATTCCTCCATTCTAATATTGTGCCAAATGTTGAACTTTTTGTTGATTATCTATCTGTATTTAGAAAGATTTTCTATTTCCTTGCTAGAGCTTTGTTTCTTGACTTAAGATGTCCACCCTCACTTGATATATTTTTATAACTAGTTTAACATCTTTGTCATGTGATTCTAACATTATTCTCCTCTCATTGACACCTACATATTTTCTTTTTCATTCAGTGAAGACTATCTAGTAAATGATTCCCACTTGAAACTTTCACATTTTAAGGTATTGCATTATTGACTCTGAATCTTAACTCTTTCACTTGGCTTTCTCTGACACTGTTCTAGCATGGGACAAAGCTGCCTCAGTGGTGGCAGAAAAGCTTCCAGTGACGCTGAGGTAATAGGAAGTGACCCTTATTAAGGGTGGATGGTGGTGGGAATTCTGGCTTCCCACTAGGGTAATGAGGGATAGGAAAGGAGTGTCTCGGTTTTAGTCTCCACTTGTCTCCATTGACAGTGATTGGAAATTCCTTTTTAAGACCTAGTTGAGAATGAAAGTCCTGTTTCCTATTCGGACTTCTGTAATGCCACCCCAGCAGCCGTGAATTAAGGCAGAAAATGGATGCCAAAAGGTGGGTTACCTTTTCATAGTCTGGCAAGGATAGAAGTTACAGTTTTTCATTCTACGACTTTTGTTGTTTTTTGTTTTCCCCTAGCTGAAAACTTCCCACTTCTTCAGGCTGGCCCTTATCTGGTCACATGGCTAGGGTGAGATTTTGTTGAGGGTTTTTATGTTTGATATGTGGGCATTTCTGAATTGCTCAACTCTCTGGCACCCATTTTCAGAGTTATGTGGAAAAGAAACCCAGAGAGCCACACCCTTCCTTGGGGGAAGCCTGCTCTTTCAACCTTTCAGTCTTTTTGTGCTTATTTGATATGTGATGCCTAGAGTTTTAAGTTCAAGTTTTCAGGAACAATCAGGAAAACACATGATTTCCATCTTCCAAGAAGGGGGACTCCTATTGTCTTGGATTATATAGTCTTTATGCTATACATTAAGAGTTTTGGAACACACTGGAGCTTTGAGATCACCTTATAGAAAAATCTGGATTATTTTAAAATGAATATACCAAAAGGTATTTTTTCTTTATGTACACCCTATAGTCAATATCATTTAAATAAAAAAATATTAGTTCATTAGGTTAAATATACATTTAGGATGCTAGACACTATTTTGGACCAGCAGTTAGAGCCCTCGATTAGTCCAGTCTCCTTCTGGACTGTTCTGTGGCCTTGGGCATCCCTTTTGGTGTCTCAGTATTCCCAGCTGAAAGAAAAGTGCTCAATTTGTTAGGTAACCTCTTAAATTTCCTCATAGAACACCCCTTCCCACTCCTGCCACCACCAAATTTCTAGATTTTTCTATAATACAGTGCTTGAAATACGCTGGTTAGTCCAAATAAAATCCTCAAAATTGGATAAGACAAATAAAGATGGCTACTGTTTATTAAATGCTTAACTGTGTTTCAGATACTATAGTATATGTTATATGAGTATTACTTAATAAACAAGCTATTGAAATGTAGGTTACATCGCATTTTTAGATGAGAAAACAGACGCAGAAAGGTAAAAAGCAGCATCCAAGAATCCTTAACTGTAAAGATATATTTGATGTGGAGATTATTTTACTTCAGAAATAATGTTTATAATAGCTTACATATGTACTTTTTATTATTTTTGGCCACCACTCAAGAATCAATTTTAAAGAAGTGAGGTATTAAAGCAAAAATAAAGGTAGCTAGAAAATATTTTTTTGTCAATTTCTCTAGAAAATCTCTGGTGACTTTATTTTGCTTAGATAAAATTTTAGCGGCATAAATTATTAATATAAAAATAGATGAACACAATTAGCTTATTCTTATCTGTCATTTGTCAGATATAGGAAGCACCATTTCTGAGAGATAAGGACATAAACTTTCCATCTTTCGATAAATCATATAGGGTCTTGAGAACTAGAATTACATTATCATTAGGTGTAAGTTTTAGTCACTTAAGAAGAATGGATAATGAGATATCCATTTGTACAAATGAGATATTTGTACAAAGACTATTTGAGTTAACCAAAAAATAGAGGCCAAGAGCAAAAGAAATAAAAAACAAGAAAACAAAACCAAATTTTAAAGTATACAATAATTTAAGCCATTTAACACAAAACTGATTCCTAAATTCCCTAACATAGTTTTCACTAAATTCTGTGTACTGCCTCACAAAATAAACTATTGATTGACCAGTAACTTACTGAAACCTACATCTCCTTAGAATTTTTACATTTTGCTGAAAAGACATTTTATTAATTGAAATCAATTACATACGTTTGCATAGATGCAAACAGAGTCAAGTTAAAAAGCAGAAAATGATGTAAGCCATTTAACATGATCCTGGGTTCTAAATTCCGTAAGAAATAGTCTCAGCTAAAATTTCTGTGTCCTGACTCACAAAATTAGCTCTTATTTGCTCAGTAACTTAAAATCTTCTATCTTCTTAGAATCTTTTATGGTTTTGCTGAAAAAAATTCTCAATGTAGATTCATGGTGTATATATATTTATGTGGCAAGACCCAGGAGTTTGTAATTAACATAGAAGGGAGCACATAGTGACATGGGAAGCTTGAACCATATCCTAATTTATCCTTTTCTTTCACTATGAAGCCCTCTCTTCAGTCTACTAGCTTACTCTGAGATTTTTCTGAGTACATCTACATAAAAATGATATTTTATTGTATTTCAATAGAAGTTATTCAAATTTCACATTATGTGTTCTCCGAATTACTAAGAAAACCAGCTATGAATGCAGTAGTAAAAGCATAATTCCTTTATGAGGAGCTAGGAAGCTGATAATTGTCTCTATAGTATTGTTCTGAGAGCAAAGCATGCTTTTCTAGGAAAATGATTTTCCCTTTATAAAACTACCGTCATTTTGGTACATGGAGAATTGATTCATGGTCATAGTTTTTATTTTTGTCTCAAGCCAATTTTGTGGGTTGTGTGCTTTAGTATAGAAAAGCGAGTTTCTCTTTTTTTTCCTTTCTTCCTTTTTTTTTTTTTTTTTTTTTTTGAAACTAAACTAAAGGTTATAAGGTTCAACCAAAATATTATCCATGTCTCATATAAGGCAGATTAAAATTGCTCAATTTTGGATGGAGAGTATGAACAGGGGTATAGCCATATTCCTTACCACCTCATTGAAAATGCATTAAAGCATTTCAATTAAGTTAGCACAGCACAGTGAGAAAAACCACCAGTGAAATACAGAGATCTCTAGATTAGGAACACAAGACCCACAGCACCAGCCCTGCTATTAGCAAGCTGTATTAATGAACCCCTGTGGGTCTAAACGTCCTCATCTATGACACTAGGAGACTGAACTAGGTGTCTCTTGGCTCAAATATTTTATGGAACTACCGACTGTACATAAATCACAAAAATTTTGTATTCATTGTCTGCTGCAAAATAAGATGTTCATTTTAGAAAGTTCTAGCATCAGGTCATTTTTTAAAAACCTTAAACACTTTAAACAAATCTTATGGGATGAAGGGTATAGCTCAGTAGGAAAGTGTTGTCTTCAGAGGTGAGGCTCTGAGTTCGGTCCCCAGCACGAGTAATAATGAAGTTTAAAGAACTTCAAAGAAAACTGCAATATAAATGCAAAATATATAATTATCTTGTTCTAAGCAATTTCAGTATGCCACTCCATTTCAAATAGTCAGTGCTATTTCATACATTCTCTCAGTATGCATTCAGTGGCTATTATGTGACTAGGCAGTGAGTTGAGTATGGATAGAAAAATTGACAAAAAGAATGCCCACTGCTGTCTTCCCAAATACAAAAGGCAATTCTTTCTTAAGGATGTATTCCTCTCAATAGAGTCTTATTGAGAATACGGAATACTACTTTAAGGATGGAGATGGTGCTGAAAACGGGCAATGTAATACCGAGTGAAATATGAAATAAAACTCTGATTTAAAAAAAAACAAAACAAACAAAAAAAAAAAACCTTTCAACACAATGGCTTTGTTGCCCTTTGTCCAACTTGAGCGGACTTGTTACTCTCACACAGTATTAAAGTCTTTTCTTTCCCAGTGACCAGTATTTGATCCTCAATGTGCCAAGATGGTTCCCACTGCCCAGAAGGAAGCTGCCATAAACGGCCGAATGTTTGGTTTTCTTGAGCAGGATGGGGTCAGGAGAGGCAAAGAGTGGGAAGATGCCAAGGGCGAGATTTGAGGACTTAGAAGGGATTCGTGGAAAGCCCAGCCCCTCTAGTTTTAGACCCCCATGTCTGGGCTGTCATACCATCAAGCCTTTGGGTTCTGTTCCTCAGAAGGGTAGATTTCCCCAGCTCAACCCACAGCTGCGCACAACCACCCACTTCACCCCAAACGTGGAGTTCACACCCACTCACTTCCTTCTCTAGACAGGGCAACTCTCATGGACCCACCCAATGGTTGACTGGCCCTCCAGGGCCATCCCCATCGCCATCGCCCACCACCGGGCACCATGTTCTAGGAACTGTCCCCCCCCTGCCCCCACGGCAGTCCCGGCCCCTCTTTTTGAGAGCACCCAATGGGCGGAGCCGGGGCCGCGGTGGGCGGGGCCTCAGGCGGGCCCATTTAAAGAAAGGCGGAGGGCGAAGGGAGGCAAGAGAAGAAAGAGAAGCCAGGGGAGGGGGCGGGCGCCGTCCAATGACAAAGCCCCGGGGTGGGCGCCCGCCGCCGCCGCCATCTTGAACCGGGCGGCAGGACCTCCAGCGCGTCCTCCGCCCCGAGGGGGAGGGGCGGCGAGGCGAGCGAAGTAGCGAGCGGCGCCGGGCGGAAGGCGCCGGCAGCAGCAGGCGGGCGGCGCCGCGGAGCGGGGCGCGGGCGGGAGGCGGCGGGCGGCCCCCGAGCGGCCTCCGATGCGACGCGGCGCGAAGAGGCGGCGGCGCCGGCCCCGGGCCGCCTGGGGCGGCGGCGGCGACTGCGGAGGGGAAGGAGGGGCCGGGCTGGAGGCGCCGGAGGAGAAGGTGGTGTACTCGCGGTCGCAACTGTCGCTGGCCGGCAGCACCGAGGCGCTGGGCGACGCCTTCAAGCTCTTCATGCCCAGCAGCACGGAGTTCATGAGCTCGGAAGCGGAGCTCTGGAACTTCCTCTGCAGCCTCAAGCACCAGTTCTCCCCGCACATCCTGCGCAGCAAGGACGTCTACGGCTACTCCTCGTGCCGGGCGCTGGTGCCCGACCTCCCGGCGCCCGCCGGCCGCCCCGCGCGCCGGCCGCGCCCGCGCGCCACGGCCAGG